AAAAAAAAAAAAAAAAAATTGAAAAGAAAAGGTGTCTCCTTTTTCTTGTGCACACCTCCCTCCCAACACAGGGTTTTGGCAAAGGCAGTTTACAAGGAGGTCTCAGAGATTGGATTTTTCTGGACAATAAAGAAATAAACATCTCACTAGGTGGTGGTGGTAGTGCACGCCTTTAATCTGGGAGGCAGGGCAGACAGATCTCTGAGTTCAAGACCAGCCAGGTCTACAGATTAAGTTCCAGGACAGCAAGGGCTACAAGAGAAACCCTGCCTCAAAAAAACAAAACAAAAACAAACAAGCAAACAAAAAACAAAAGAAAAAGAAATAAATGTCATAATGTGGCTGTTCAAGGAACAGTATTTAAGATGTTTTTTTGTTTTATTTTGTTTTCCTGAGGAAGAAAAAAGCTCTATGGAGTGTGATCAGCCACATGAATATTCAATTCATAAAAGTGTTGTCTCTAGGATAAAGTGGGCACAGTTTTCGGTAAGCCCCAGCTAAGTAGTCAGTGCAGGCAGGGTCAGTGGGAGTAGACCTGAGAGGAAGAGAGCAGGGAAGGTCAGAGAGGCCACGCACCCGAGTTCAGAGGCAGTGGATGCTCTATAAACACTGGGTCCTCTGGAGTGGAGACTTCGCTTGGGCTAGCACCTGGAAGGGAGGGAGGGCACTGATCACTCAGAGTGGGACCAAAAGCCTGATACACGAGGCGCAGCAGAGACATAAGGGCAGGAGAAACAGTACCTTCCTCCGGCTCAGGGCTGCTGCTGCTGCTGTACCCGCTGCTGCTGCCGCCGCTGCCGCCACCGCCACTGCTGCCACAGTCTGAGGGGTTTACAAGCCCACTGGACCTTCCCTTCTCCTACAGACACAACATCCGTCACTGGCACACCTTTTCCTTTGATTAATTTCCCTTCCCAGCATGCACCTCATCAAGAGTCTTGAAGACAGAAATATCTGGGTGTCTTGTCAAGTGCTTGATGGTGCTTTCCTTACCTTATTCTCTTCCCTCTCTGGTGACACAGCACTATTGGGTCGCTTGGATGGCGATTTCTGGCTTCTTGGTTGGGCTGTGGAAATGATGCAGGTGGAGGAAAGTTAGAACCTTTTACAGGGAAAGATGGTGGAGGAGGAGCCAAAGTAACAAACAGCCGGGCAGGACTAGGGAGCCCAGGCAGGCCTGCCAGACAGCAGAAGGCTTATCCCCATCCTTCCTTGTCAATCTGCTCATTCCACGAGCAGCTGGGCAGGGACCACTCACCAGGGAGGGTTCCTGGTGGCAGTATCCGATAGACTTTGTAGGGTTCAGCAACATCCATACGGCCTCTCTCAGGAACCTCTTCAAATTCAGGACTCTTGTTGAGGGCACAGCGCAGGCGAGTCTTCCAGACAGCAGGGGGTCCTATGTCCTCATCCTTATGCTTTTTTTTAAACAGTGCCCAAGCCTAGTAAGGCATTAAGTGAAGAACAGACAAAGTATTACACACCCCACATGTCCCTCCAAATGGCTGACTGCACAGGTATGTGGCCTGAGCAATTGCACAGGCCTTGAGTTTAGATGAGCCCGCATTGGGTTTGTATTCCCTTCTTGCCAGCATGAAATCCTCGGTAATTTACTGTGGCCCTGCAAATAACACAGCTAGTTCTACTTTCTAGTACTCCCTTTATCCAAAACCCAGACAGACAAAAGCACTTGGATATAAACATATCAGTACAGACACCATCCTTTGAGGGGATGGTGGCTTCAGGCCCTCTCACCTTGAATATGGCAGCATCCTGGTCCTTTCGGAAGTCTTGCTTGCCTGCATGCTTCCAGGGAATCCGGAACATAGTCTTGGCTGTGTCATCCCAGCACACCCCTGGGAAGTGCCCACTTTCCAATTGCTGTATTATCCAACTTCGGAGCTTCCGGGTACAGCGTGCTTTGCCTGAGGCCATCCTAGGAAGAAAAGCAGGGTACATACAACTATTTCTATAATTTGAGACAGGATCTCACTACATCATCCTGGCTGGCCTGGGACTAACTATATAGACTAAGCTAGACCCAAACACAGAGACCCACCTGCCTTTGAAGTGCTGGGATCAAAGGTGTGTGCCACCATGCCCAGGGAGAACCAACAATTTGGGAGTAATTGCTAAACTCTGGTCACTGGGGCCAGCTTCCTGCAACAGCTCTTCCCTGTTCTTTTCTCTCTCAAAACATTGAGGTAGAAACTATTTCTTTTGATATTTGAAGTTATTGCATCTGGTACAAAGCCTTGGCCTTAATGATGAGGTTTTTTAATTATTTGGGAGGATTCCCTTAATGACCTGTACCTAGTGACAGACTGTGTAGATCCCAGGCATCCAGAGGCAACAGTGCCTTTAAGGCACATCCCCAATCTACTTTCCCCTTCACCCCATCCCTTCTCCTTGTGCTAGAGGGATAGGTGGGGCAGATATCTGGGGGAAAGGGAGGGGTTAAGCAGTAGGCAGGGCCAGAGGCGAGAAAACAAAGGTCAACTGAGGCTGAGCAAAGGGCCTACCTCTTACTGTTTTTGTCTACAGGTCCAGGACCAGCCTCACTCAGGCCAAACCTATTTCCTGGTCCACAAGCCTTCTGGTCTGACTTTCCCTCTGGCATAGGGCCTGGGAGCCCTCGCCTTCCTCATCTCAACACCTTCCAACTGATCCCCTCCAGAGCTGCTCTTACCTGAGCGACCGAGGATATCACAGGCTCAGCTTGTTCTAGGCTAGGTTTCTGCTCTCTCCTCCCCTTTCTACAGTCCCCACCCTAAGTTTCAGTTCTCCTCCTGGGAGGTGCGTTTCCTAGAAATCACGTGGCCTGAGCTGCAGGGCCAGCAGTCACCACCAGAGGGAAGCAGCATCTGAGAAGGTGTCAGCAGCAGAGCAGGCCCTGGCCTGGTGGCTTTGGTTAGACTGACCCCTCCTTCCTCCCTGGTGATTCCCTTGTGCCTTTTAGGAAGGCTAGTCTCTGGATCTGACCTGGAGGCTCATTTGTGCTCCCCAAGTGTCTGCTTGTTATATTTGAGGTGATTTCACACAGCAGCTGGGTTAAATGAGGTGAAAAAATGAAGCAGAGAAGCCCACACCAGGTGGTTAGATGTGGAGAGTCTCTCTTGTTCATCCATCCAACAGCATGTCGTCATTTCTTACTGGCCGGAGGAGTCCAGGGGTGGTTGAAAAGGCTGCAGAGGGCCCTTTCAACAAGATTCTGTTCGCCTACCCCTCCCTTTCCCTAAGGCCCCAAGATGGTGAGGCCAGGAAGAAGGACCACCAAGAAGCCTAGGCCGTAAGATGCCTCTTTATTGGTGCTGGAGCTGTTGCTGAGGGCAGGGTTGTGAAGCCTCATCAGGACCCTTGCCCTCAGCTACTTCCTTCTGCGGGCGATACTCTGTCCCAAGGGTACCTCTTCTGTCAGCTTCTGCAAAGGAGAGGGAAATGACACTGAAAACCTGGAGTGGAGAAACAGGCTGTGACAGATGACTTCCGGAAGGACAGAGGAAAAGCTGGGTGTCAGCAGCATTACCTGTAACAATCGGGCCTGATAGGCAGGGAGATCTTCTCCCTCCATCTGCTGGGGATGTACATGTAGGTAGCGTACAGTGGCTGTCTCCAGTTCCTCTACTTCATACAGCGTTGCTGGGTCCAATGAGTGGGCATTGATAAGGCTCACAAGATACTCTTTGTAGTGTGCCCTGGGGAAATGAGGGAGCAGGATTTTTATTCTTCTGCTTAATATTACCTGTGTGGGCTTAACTCTTTGTTGGGCGTTGGGATTTTTCCTTTTTTCAAATTGTGTGTTAAGGTGTACACACCCATACCCATACTCTTATCACAGGGAGCATATGCAGGTCAGAGGACAACTTGTGAGTTGGTTTTCTCCTTTTGCCATGTGGGTTTGGGGGGTAGAACTCTGGTCCCCATGGTTGGCACTAAGCACCTTTACCCACACACAGTTGTCTCACCAGACCACAGTGGGATTTTGTTTGTTTTTGTTTTTTGAGACAGGGTTTCTGTGTATAATAGCCTTGGCTGTCCTGGACACATTGAGATTCTTACATGAACAAGACTACTTGCAGGCAGTGTCAATCAGTATCTCCATGCTGCCTGCTACTACCCATCCACACCCTTGACCAGTGGGCCCTCTCCCTCCCTCCCTCCTATTCTTTGAAGGACCAACTGGCCCCAGAGACCCCATCTTACTGCCTGGGCAACCTAGCCCTCATCCCAATGCCATGCTCCATGCTCTGGCAGGCACTCACTGACAGAGGCCGGCATAGCCAGGTGGAGTTTCCTTGCCACAAGCTTCATCCCTGAACCCACTGGGAACCTCTTTTTGTTCCATCACTCGGCAGCCACCTAAGAGTAAGGAAGGAAGGGGTATATGTTGGGAGGGAGCCTCTGAGCCCAGGAAACCCTGCTTGTCAGTAGTGGTTATGTCACACTTCGGAGAAGGGTTCAGAGGCAGAGGGACTTGGGAATGGGTGGAGGCCTGGCTGTCCCACTTCTCACCAAAGTGGCTTATGATCCACAATCACATGCTCTTTTGGGGGGTGGGGGGAAAGGGGAAGGCAGGGCCTCACTATGTAGCTTTGGCTGGCCCGTCCAATGCTCTTTAAACTGCTCTCCTGGTTGTTATTTAGCTCCTACGCCGCCAACTTACTCTCTGGAGGTCTTGTTTGTTTTTCCAGACAGGGTTTCTCTATGCAGTCTTGGTTGTCTTAAAACTCTGTACACCAGGCTGGCCTTGAACTCCCAAAGATCTGCCTGCCTCTGCCTACCAAATGTTGGGATTAAATGTGTGCACCCCCACAGCCCAGCTCTCTGGAGGTCTTACTCTGCCTAGAAGGTGAGTAGGGTAGGTCAGAACCTTCCTCAACATCTTTTGTTCCCCAAACAGAACCTAAAACAGTAGCCTAAAACCTAAAACAGCTAGCAGGTATCATTAATTACTCAGTTAATTACCAAATCCAAACCACTAGAGAACATGAGAAGAGAGTTAATAAGGGCCAAGTGCTTTAATGATACCTTATAATAAAGCTCAGCCATTAGGTAGATATTATCCTCACTTCACACACAGGAAGAAACAAGACATGGAGAAGTTAATTACCTTGCCAAAGGGCACACAAATGACCCAAATCCAAGCCTCCCTTTCTTTACCCACCACAACAGGAGCCCAGCATACCATCTCCCCGTCAGAGGTTTGTCTGACACTTACCTCCAGGGACTGCCCGGGTCCCGGCTGGAGGCTCCGTATTAAACATGACATTATTGTCCTAGGGAGAAGTAGAGACATATGGGGATTGTTTTCCTCAATGCAGCTACTGCCCCATTTCCTAGCATTCAGTCTTTTCCATTCTTGCTCATCCTATGCCCATCTCCTAGTCATCTGCACACCCAGCCAGGCTGGCCACCTCTGACCTGCAACAGTTTCTGGAGCCGAACAGCAGTCCAATCCCGTAGGTAGAAGAGGCAGTCTCGAGGGTGGTGGCCATGCAGGGACTTTTTCACCCTGCAATTAGGGTCTGGACATTTCTGGTAAAACCCAAATAGGAGAAGGAAGTTGGAAACTGCTGGGGTCCTGGACTCTCAAGACCCCCTGCAAGAGGTGGGGTATAGGAGTGAGAGGAGATGGTGACATTAAGGGGTCTGGAGCAAGCGAAGGGGGAAGAGGACAGAGAAAGGCTTTCTATCCTGCTGACCATTCCTTTTCCCTGGCCCCCCGCCCCTCAAACCCAACACAGCTACCCACTCTTCTCTCCTTCCCCCCCTCCCTGAACTCACGTTCTTGGCATAAAAAGCATTGTAGCAGCCACTGCAAAACTGGTGGCGACACTGTGTGCAGTGGAAATGCATGCAGCCTCCTCGGGCCAGTGCATATGAGAACTTGCACTTGGGGCAGTCTGTAAGGACAGAAGCTTAGGGTGAGGGCAGCTCTGCAACCCAGGCCCTCAAGAAGGAAGCTGAACTAAATAGAGTAGCCTTACCAATGCCATTTTCCTGAAGATACATTGCCAGGCCTTGAGCCTGGTATTCTGGGTCATTGGTGCGTTTCCAGTTCTGGAAGTCCTCACAGCTCCGTCCTCTGTGCTGCTCCTCCCACTGCCAGGAGGAAAGTGGGCTGTGCATGGAAGCTCTACCCATCCCTAGTCTGTCCTATTGGTCTGACGACTCACACCCAGCAGTCCCAACTTATTACATTACTGCTATCTACCATTCTCGCAGTTCCTAAAACCGAAGGGCCACTGTTTTTCATTTCCCCGACCCCTACACATTTGTTCATAAAACTTGGCTGCTCCCATCCAAACTCCACTTCTTTGTTCCCACTGCTACCACCTTACTCCAGGTAATTGTCAAGTCCCGCTTTAAATACTTGCTTGGGTTACTACACTGTTTCCTCCGCCCCATTCTTCATTTTTAAAGTTAATGTCAGGAGCTTCTGCAGTGCTAGCAGCATGCTAACCCCGAGGTGTGGTGGTAGGGACAGATAAGTTTTCAACAACTTAAAGACAAATGATAGTGTCACTATGTATTACTTGGCCTCGAGGGCTGCTCTCTGCTGGCAGCTGGCTCCAACCCAACTACCTGCCATTCTCACTCTTGCTCTCAGGGCTCCAGCTACACACTGGTTTTTTTTCTGATGTTAGCCTTTCTATGGATTGTTCTTCCTTTTTAAAGAAATAATTTAACTTTATTTTATGTGCATTGGTATGAAGATGTCAGATTCACTGGAACTGGAGTTACAGATAGTTGTGAGCTGCTGTGTTGGTGCTGGGAACTGAACCTTGGCCTTCTTAACCACTGAGCCATCTCTCCAGCCCCTGGATTGTTCTTCTTGCCCCAAATACTTTCTTTCTGCATGGCTGGCTTCTTAACTTCTAGGCCTGTGCTTAAACAATTCTGAGCAGGAGTGGCTGGGTGTGGTGGCACATACCTGTAGTCTCGGTACTCCCGAGGCTTAGCCAGGACTGCAGCAAAATTTAGGCCAGCCTTCTCTCAGAAAACCAAAATTAAAGGAAAAGGAAGAGCTTGGCTGGCTTCTCCATCTTCAGGCAGTGTAGGCTGCTCTCCTCCGCTTAGGTCCTACTCATCTTGCCTGTGTAATTACATCCACTCTCTTCCCCCCTTCCTTCTCTGTGCATGTGTGCATGTGTGGAGGCCGAGTACACTGCCCTGCATCTTCTTTTTGAGACAGGGTATCTTACTGGCTTGGAACTCAAACAGGATATGGTGACTGGCCAGCGGGCCCCAGGGATCTACCTGTCAACACTGTGTTGTGTCATCCCCCTGCCCCTCCCTTCGCCCCCGGCAGGAATTACAAGTGTCTACCACCAGACTTGGCTTTACATTTTCCCTGTAAGAATTAATTAATGAGCCGGGCATTGGTGGCGTACGCCTTTAATCCCAGCACTCAGGAAGCAGAGGCAGGTGGATC